GTCTAAGTGCCCAATTTGCAACTAAGCATTCTCGCGGTTACGGAATGCTTATTGAGATATTACATAATAATATGTTTGATTAAAAAAATCTGTTTCCTTATTTTAGCAGTGGTTACGGGCTCGCTTGGAAAACCGAGTGAAGTGGGTTCAAATCCCGGGTCTCGCTCCTGTAATATTTGGACGTGTGTCATTTCCAACATGATTACCACTTGTCATACGGAGAAGGAAACATCGTGAGAAACCTGCATGTCTGAGAGTACCTAGCAAGTTTTCGAAAGACAAGTCCGCCAAGCCGTACTTGTCCAGCGTGGTGGATTATGGCCCGATCCCGCTCGTATTGAAGGGAAACTCGTGCCCAGCAGTAGGATGTTAAAAAAGGGCTGAATTAATTAACTATTATTACGATTTTTTATTAATATGTATACAGGGTCATTTTTAATTTACTGAAAACCTTTTGGGAATATACTATTTACATCATAACAACAACATCTGTAACAAGAAAAAATAATATTGCTTAAATTTCTTTCATACAAAAATAAAAATATATTTTTTTGCACCTTCTAAACTTTAAAGTTTTAGCATCTGACCAAGTCTAAATGAGTAAGCGCGGCTTCAAACACCCCTCCACCCCTCCCCCTCCACCGGACACGCACTTTCTTTTGCTAATGCTGGACTATTACCGTTGAGAAGGTGCAATAAAAATACTTTTATTTTTGTTAAATTTAAGATATATTAATATTTTTTCTTATAGATATTGTTCTTATGTTGTAAATAGTGTATTCCCAAAAGGTTTTCAGTAAATTAAAAATGACCCTGTTTATTGATTAATTTATATTATCTTTAATATTCGGACTTCTATTACAAATGTAAATGATTGTATGTACACTTGTTTATACTCTTTTACGCTAAATTGGGTCGACGGATTTACATAAATAGACTATGACTTGAAGTAATCCTGGAATAAACACATGTAATACTTTTAGGCATCCTCGCTTAACTCGCGTGAGTTAAGTTAAAAGGTGAGTCGCTAGTCCATACTAATACCTATAATAATATAAAGAGGTAAAGTTTGTGAGTTTGTGACGTTGTAGGAGTAATCTCTGGATCTACTGAATCTATTTAGATGAAACTTGGTAAGAAGATAGTTTGAGACCCTAGGAAGGGCAAAAGATACTTTTTATCCCGGAAATCATCCTTTAAGGGGGTGAAAATGGGGATAAAGCGGGGGTGAGTCGCTGTAACTAAATAATGCTAGTATAGGTTCGGCATGGTTGACAATAACTATTTCAATAGGGATTGTTTGTTTGATATTATTATTAAAGAAACACAACAAGTAGTTAGGCAGGTACTTACTATATTTTCTGTAAAATATATTTTTACACCAATAATAATATAAATTAATAATTATATAAAAATAGGATCTATATGTACCTACCTATTATTGTAAATTAATTATTTTATTCTTTATGTTATCATTCTGATAAAAAAATATTTATTTGAGTTTCCTGGCGTTATCATCTTGAGTGGAAAACGGGCAGGAGGGCATTTCTCCGAGATTGCGTTCTTCGTCTGATTAATCTGGCCACAAATTATTTTCATTTTTGGCTCTATTTAACATAATCTTATGATTAAAGACATGCCAAATATTATTTGGCAATGCCAATCTCGGAGAAATACCCGGGAACAGCGTAGTGTTTTGTATTAAGACTATCAGCAATGTGTCATTCTTTTTTTGTAATGTCATTTGAAGCATTACCCTGACTCTGTTTCTGTATAAAATAATAAAAACCGTGTGCTGTAACAACGAATTTTACTTCACCTACCTGACCTACTTCTGAAATAATCCCGTAATAATACCTATATTTTTTCTGTAAAAAGATAAATGAAACAAAAATATTATTTCATAAATAATTTATTTTAAATGAAATTTTATACAACATATTGTTAGTAAAACACAGGCGAGTATTTGGTATAATGGAACTTTAATTATAACACTTTTGATTAACTTGTGAGATGTTGTTTACAACTTACGTAGTTTATTACAATCCCTACGTATATACTTGTGAAAATACATAATTAATTAGGCACGATTGATTTGTTTCACTTCACAAATTGTTTGTTAGATATTATATATCGACCAAAAAAGTACTAGATACACAATCCCATGCAAAAGTCTGTGTTGAGGTAATTTTCTAGTCGAATAAATATACAGTAATGTAAATTGAACCTTAATCACAATGCTTAGAGTTGTTTTCACAAAAAAAATCGCCTTCAAATGTTCAAATGAGCGCTCATTCGGTGAGGACATTTTTTGTCGCTGATTGTGTATAGATACGTTTTGATCGATGATATTATAGTTAAAATAGATGTTTCAAATAACAATTACGTTACTAAGTTTAGATTCAAACCGGTAATATCTATTTGATAAGACATTATAATAAAATTATTTGAATATAATATTAATTATTTTTATAGTGATTTTTATAGTTTCAAGGCCTTTATCATATTAAAGCTATCAGTAACAGTAATATTAACTAAAAATAATAAAGAGGCAAAATCTATTTTACTTGAATGATAATGGCCTCTTAAAATTTATTTCATTGAAGACCGCTTCAACCTTTACTGTATTATCATACTAAAATTACGTTATTTACAAGATATATTTATTATTTGGCAATAAAATTATGTTAAATATAGATAAGAATAGAAAAGAGAAAGGGAAAGTCTAGGAACTAAGCTAAGTTTTAACGCACACTAAGTTTTGTGTCACAAGATTTTGTTGGATTATATATATTGTATCGATACAGAGGCTGAACCTATAGTTTTTGGAATTTTTGTCTGTCTATCGGAGAACGCATCAACGAGAAAACCACTGGACAGTTTTTGATGAAATTTGGTATGATGATAGCTGCTTATCTAAGATATGATTATCCAAGGCAGCATATAGGATACTTTTTACTGCGGTAAGAAATCTCATCTCTGAGAAATCACGTTAAATAAAACTACATACATATTTTTGAGGCGTTTTCGCGGTTTTATTTTGATTTTTGGTTCCCGAGATTGGAATGTGGAAGTCATAATTTTAATTAAAATGTCAAATATATATAAATCTAATTACTCCTTTAAATTAGCTTTATTTTTTGCGTCTTCAGTGGCAGTTAACGCTTACAATGAAAGCTGTATTTTTATTACAATTTTGACGAAAGACACAAAATTTAGTATGCGATTAAATAGGAGCTAAATTTTTTTAGGACGAATTCGACAGGGCTAAATTAGGTTATAGATTACACTAGAAGTGGTGGATTTTAAAACATTTTTATCTACAATGTGAAGAAGAAGAGAAGATATAAATAAATTATATGGCGTAGCACCGAATCAGCTTTGGTCATCAAACTTTTGCTTCACTATTACATATATATGGTTTTTTACAGAAAACGCAGTTAAATCATTTGTTTTTTTTTACAACCACAATATAAATTTCCTTTGATTTTATATTAGATATTTTACTTTTTTAATTATTACTTTGAAATATTATAAATACAAATAAATATGTTGGGACATTAACACACGGCACCATCTAGTTTCATGGTAAGCTCGAGTTGAGTCGAGCTTGTGTTATGGATACCAGATAGTTGATACACTCCCCCAAACGTGCGTTCACCTTGTCGTGGACGGGAGACTCAGTAGATCCAGCCGGGCGCGAAGCTAAGAAACGCACAGGGAGGTGGCGATGTACCAAGCGGGTTGCTCCTGGTACTTCTCTGATAGCAGAGTGGACCTTGGAGCAACCCCATGGTTGTTGTGGTCCGCTTAAGCAGACCTGCCGTCGGGGCGTCGTAGTTGAATGCGTAAGCGATCCTGCGACGCCCCATTAAGACGGGGGAAGGTTTTGTTGGGTTTTGTGGGTAGTACTGGCTTTTCGAGCCGGTCAGTCCCACATAACTACCTACATGTCTACAGGCGGTATGCGTAAATGCATTTCCCAACATTTAAAAAAATATTGTTGATACACTACACGTATATAACTTTAAATATTATAAATATATATATATATATATATATATACCCATGACATGATATTCTTTTAATTCTTAAGATATAGTTTTTCTGCACATACTTTAACAACTGTTTATACGTAGATACTAAAAGTATCCTACAAGTTAATTTCGGTCCTTATTTCATCAAACTATATAAGTATATTAGAAAAATGGTAGAGATCTGAGAATTTATTAATTATTTTAGAAATAGCACCTCACGCCTGGTGTAATGTATTTTTTATTATAAATAGCTATTTATAGAAGATATGAAGAAAGATATAAGGACGCTAAATTTGCTACGGGTTACAAAGAAGTTGAAGATTTTATCGCTAAACTTATCTACAATTTAAACCGATTAGGACAAATTTGATTATATCTTAATCTATTTATTTGTATATTGAAATAATATTTAAGTATATGTTAATTCTTATTTATACATAAGTTTTACAATAAAAATGATTTTACTTTAAAAAATGTATCCTTATAGCTAAAATTCCAATTCAGATATTTAAACGTACGTAGATAACAATATAAAATGACTTCATTTGTAGGTCTGAGCAAGTGATCTTGTCTATACATATAATAAAATTGTAACTAAGTCGAATCTGTACATTAAATATTTTTTGGAAAATCTAATTGAAATAGACATTATTATCAATACAGAGTCCGAATCTACAGTTTATAGATTTTTTGTCTGTCTGTCTGTCCGTCCGTCTGTCCGTCCGTCCGTCTATACTTTTTACCGCGGAAAAATATCTCATTTCTGAGAAAAAATACAAAATCTGCATTGTAAGAGTATACTAATATGTAAAACATAAGAATTTGGTTTTTGGTCATCTGAACGCGGGCGGAGACGCGGGCAATTCTAGTTATAATAATATATTCAAAAAAGTACTTGTAGATAAATTGAAGAAATAAATCACACATTAAAAACTAAAATTTGAAGAAATACTCTTATAATTATACGTTAGTGATAGTCAAACGTCTAGGGCTCCGATTTATATTGGTCGTGGAACCTCTGACATGAACTTGAACAGAACCGTGTGCTTCTGAATGAAGACTTGCTGCTCGTGAAGTCCTGGGGGATGGAGCACACACTCGAAGGTCGACAGCACTATGAAGACTTGCAGCTCTCGAGGATCTGGGGGTGTGACCGCTGTCAGGTGCCAGGGCGGGGAGGTCAGCTGCCGAACGTGACCTTCGTGGTGGACTCTCAGGTATGAGAGCCATTCCCATGCTTCCCACAAACACCGAGTTCTAGTAATAAAGTAATTTTATAAGTATGATGATTCTTTTGTCTATATAAATTATGTGTATTTAAAAGAAATAATCTATACAGAGAAATAAAATGTAAGTGTCTGTTTGTAATATCGATATAGAAGCTATTTAGTAAATGCGTATGAAATTATATACGGTGCTTATAAGAAAAACACTATTTTTATTTTTTTTGGCTATCTGTTTGACCCGATTAATCTTGACTTGAAGGGATTTTTTCTGACAGATAGCTAATGTTATAAAGGAGTCATTTAGGCTACTTTCATTTTAGAAAAAGAATTAGGGTGCCGCTCAAAAAAATTAAAACGTACCGCGGAACGCACCCAAGCGAAGCAAGGGTAAGTCGCTAGTATAAAAATAAATTAATCGACAGACTATGAATTTTAAAAATAGGTTTAGATTTTCTTTATTGTTACTTGTTACTTAAACTAGAGGTAATTTAAACAAATTCTAATAGAATTTTATATTTTACCTGTCTAGGACGATGAGCAAGGTATCCACAAGGCTGATATGAAGGAAATGATCCACCGTAGTCGTACGACACACAGCCTCGGGAGAGTGACGCCCGGTGCTAGATTACAAAATGTTTAAATTGTAATTTTTATATACAATTATACATATATCTATACTAATATTATAAAGAGGTAAAGTTTGTGATCTTGTGAGTTTGTGAGTTTGTGAGTTTGTGAGTTTGTGACGTTGTAGGGGGTAATCTCTGGATCTACTGAACCGATTTTCAAAATTCTTTTACCAATAGAAAGCCACGTTCTTTCTGAGTGTCATAGGCTATATTTTAACCCGAAAAATGAAAAGGCTTTTTTGTGGTAGTCGCATTTGCAAAGTAAGTCGGAGAAAAAACGGTCGAACGAAAACGTTTTTTACGAACGCTGCCTTAACGATGAGAGATATATGATTATGTTCTAGAGAAAAGTTGTAGAGCTTAATAATGCCTACAAAAAAGTCAGCGACAGCATATGTCTAACTTTTATATTTAAGTCACAAAAAGTAGTTTTTTATATTAAAAAAATCATTTAAATCGGTAGGTCATGTTTATTGGTCATATTATCAACAATTATGAATTCTTATCAAAATAAGTAAATTTATCGTCTAAAATGTTTAAAACAAAAGATTTTTCCCTTTTACTGCATATAATTTGGACAAATGGTTAAAGAGATAATACAACATATTCATAGGTATGGACGAACCCGAGCGAGCTGTTTGTCTGTTTTCCTGTTTGTACGGGCTAATCTCCGGATCTATTGAACCTATTTAAATGAAATTTTGCATGGTGGTACCTTATATCCCCGGGCAACATCTTAGATACTTTTCATCCTGGAAAATTAAAGGGTTCCCGTGGGATAGTTAAAAAACTATAACAACTTATACATCTTAGTACACAAAAACTACTGATTGGATTTTAATGAAACTTTACAATAATATAGTTCATACATGACAAAAACAAATCAGCTACTTTTCATCTCGGAAAATTAAAGAGTTTCCGTGGGATAGTCAAAAAACTATAGTAAATTATACAGCTTAGTACACAAAAACCACTGATTGGATTTTGATGAAACTGTACAATAATATAGTTCATACATCAGAATAACAAATAGGTAACTTTTTATCCCGGAAAAATGTGCTTTTCCCGTGGGATAGATGTTTTTGTTTATTTGTAACGTATTATGTACACAACATAGACCCCAAAACAATAGTTATTAAAAAAATGTATGTTTGTTTGTTTGCCTGTATGTCTGTTTGTCTGTTTTTGTGTGCGCGTTTCACGCGAAAAGTAATGTACCAATTTCAACGAAATTTGGTGAAGTGATAACTTATTACTCGAGTCAACATTTAGGGTACCTTTTGTATGTATGTATGTTGTATTCAGCCCTTTTTAACACACGCACGGGCCTCCTTTCAGTACGAGGTGGATCAGGCCATAGTCCACCACGCTGGTCAATATCATCACCCGGGATTTGAACTTGCTACACTCGGTTTCCCAAGCGAGCGCGTTACCACTGGGATACCACTGCCTAGATACCTTATACTTAATGAAAATCTTTCTTTCCCACGGGAAAATATAATAACTGGTTTTATCGAGTCCTCCCTAGAAACCTTCCTCTGTCTAAGTCTTAAGACATACATCGAAACAATATACTAAAAAATTGTAGGTCTTGAAAAGTCCTACAGAAAAGTTCTGAATAGTATATGTCTATTTCCTAAGTTACACTCGCAATATTTATTCTTATCTATACCTATAATAAAACTTAGTCAAATCAATGTGCGCGTATTACGCAAAATGTACTCAACCGATTTTAACTTCATTTTGTTTAGTGATAAAACTTAGTGCTCGGGTCAACATTTAGAATACTTTTAACGACAGGCAAATTATTCATTCCCACGGGAAAATACAATAACTGGTTCTATCGAATTGTCCTTAGAAATTTATATGGCTAACGTTGGCTCAACCTTAACAGATAGATCAAAACATTGTACAAGAAAATTGTAAGTCTTAAAAAGGTCTATAGAAAAGTTCTACATAGTATATGTCTATCTCCTAAGGTACACTCGCTATAACTATTTTCATTATTATATATTTCTGTTTTATTATATGTTATTTATTCTATCTGAATATAGGTACATATATGAATAATAAAACTGTAGAGGTCGAATGTCTGTACATAGATGGTAGAAAAAATTGCTAAAAAACGAGTCAGTTCTCTTCTTGCATCCCGTAGGAGAGAAGTAGAACAAATCCAGTTTTTTTTCAATTTTTTTGTTTCTCTGTCTGTTTGTCTGTTCGTACGGGCTAATCTCCGATACTATTGAACCTATTTAAATGAAATTTGATACATTTCATTCCGGAAAATTAAAGAGTTCCCGTGGAATAGTTAAAAAATTATAGTAACTTATACAGCTCAGTACACAACAACTTATGCACCTAATTTAGTAAAATTTGGCATGCTGATATGACCTTATATTGCAGGTCAAACAACAGGTTACTTATTTTTATCCCGGAAAAATGAACGGTTCCCGTGGGACAGATCTGTTTGTGCTTTTCTAGAGGTGAACCCGAGCGAAGCGAGGGTGAGCCGCTAGTTATCAATATATTACGAGTATACTACACACTCAATAGTATATTTAAACATTGGTTTATAGTTTAATAATACAAGTTTTTTATCATTAAGCCATTAGCAGATTTTATGGCTTTTACTGTATTTATTTCCTCACATCTAAAAGAAAATAACATACGATTTACGAATATATAAGAGTGCAGGCAGTAAAATTCTTATCATGATATTTCAATTCAATAAATAAAATAAAATTTTGCTATATTTTTTATCCTTTCTTAACAGAAAGACTCGATAGCTAAATTTTTCACGAATCGGGACTCAAACCCGAAGACCTCCGATCTGCAGCCGTAAATGCTAGTCACTTGATTATAGAGGTAGTTTATACACATATGTATGTATAATGTATATAAATATCTTATAATCTGCATATGAACAAGCCAGTAAATTAACGAGAGATATATTTTTAATTTGTATTAAGTATAAGTATTTATTTTAACTATGTTATATTTTACTGTTCTTATTTGGCGGTGTTTCACCCCCGTGCCTCGGAGAGCACGTAAAGCCGTCGGTCCTGCGCCTTAACTCTCACCGGTCGTGTCGAATAGTCGTCCCACCGGAGTATGAGAATGACAGGAATAGAGAGTGCACTTGAGTCTACGCGTACACTTGTGCACTATAATATCTTCTGCGCAGTTGGCTAGTCTCAATGAGATTGGCCGCCGTGGCCGGAATCGGTCTGGAGAACATTATTATTTTACTGTTCAAAAATAAATGAGACTACTTACGTGTGGAGGGACTGTAACAGAGTTTTCCGCAAGGGCACAACTTTGTCGGTGTTGTTGTTGGAATTTTGGCTGGTATGGTTCTAACATCCTACAAAATTTATCGCATTGTTAATTATTCATAATAATTTAATGTTCATGGTAGGTATTTCAGTTTTGAAAATTAATTTTATACGTTATAGCCATTTCATACGTCAGTTACATACAGTGGCAATTAATTCCCAAGACGCTGGAACAAGAAACTTTGGTAGGTGACATTTCTTGTGAAAGAATATTTTTAGATATTATACAGGGTTATATAATAGATAAATATTTTTTGTCTATTTTCAAAATAGATTTGATTTCCAAGGATACTTTAAATATCTTAATTACCACGATATTATATTTGTATTATTCTGTATCATATTATTCCTTTATATAAATATGTATCTACAATTTCGAACATATGTATTACATATAAATTCTACATAGTAAATAGCTATTTTATTAATGAAAAAGCAAGAAATCTACGTACAGTTTATAGACGCACCTGATCTTGCCCCAACGGTTGAAAAAGAGCGCTATAGCCGCTACCCACAGCAGCAAAACGAAAGCGACTATAAGGGCCTCTTCAGCTCGAACCACTACTCCACTACCATCTGGCAAACAAAGCATAAAATAAATCAGATGTGCCAAATGAATATACCTTTATTACCTAACATGATTTCCCAAACTAATTTCCATCCCCTATTTTACCCTCTTAGGGGTTGAATTTTATGCATGCAAATATGTCCAAGGAATAAAAAGTTTCATACAAACTTTTAACCCCATTTTACTTAACCCCTTGGGCGTTGAATTTAAAAAAATCCTTCCTTAGTGGATGCCTTCGTCATATGAGGAATACGTGTGCGAAATTTTAATTTTCTAGCCCTATGGGTTTGGCCTGTGCGCTGATATATCAGTCAATCACATTTGCCTTTTATATATACAAATTAGCCAACACGCTTTAGATATCTCTTGTGTTGATGAAAAGTAACAAACAGAGTAAAATACCACTCCTTTGCCTTAAAAGTCACTGAATATAAATTTAATTTGGCATAATAATATAAAGTTAACAATAGATTTGATTGTAATTTTTTACTGATTTAAATAGGTATTGTTTAGTATCTGAAGTATTTTCCTTGAATCAGAATTTCATAGACTGTAAAAGATCTTGATAACCTCCAAATCTGATGAATATTTTATTATATTTTGCTTTCAAGTGAAGATTATTATTATATATTAATTAAGTTAACATGTCGTGTGTAAAGACGTAAGAAATGATTATTTTAATAATATTATTTATAGTTTAATTATTAAAGACATAAAAGGACGCTTTCGCTGCAAAAGGTCAAGGAATTCTTCTTTAGTATATTGTTACAGTCTGGCGTCATTAATATTCCGAATTTAAGACCTTCAGCGACCGCCACTAGCCCCGCCACATTGGGAAAATGATACCAAAAACCAGTATTTCGAGAATATTTTCTTTCCAATGTCATCTACGTTATAAATATTTATTACAAAAATTAAAGAGCATAAAAGGCGACACTCATGGCCTCACGTTCAGGACACTAAATTGTAACAATCTACCAAATTAGAACTTTCTTTTAATATTAGAACCTACCCAGTGAATGGAATATTATTTCTTAAAATAAGTTTAATACGAACGTTGTAACTAATATGTAAATTTTATTAATAGATACAGCTATGCTAGGTAAAAACAATCGATATCAGTAAGAGAAAATTCAAAATATTTGTCTGGAACATATTAAAGATTGCATATATCTACAACTTAATCCATGACAAAGCTTTCATATCATTGTAATAAAATAATTATTTCTTATGATTGGATAAAATGTAACTGCATCTACCAACAGTATATATGTACATATAGACATACTTATTCTATATACTATAGACAGATCTTGTCTTGTGACATTTCATATCCAATTAACAAGTGCATGAATATTTTTTATTGAATTTTAGAAACACACAATACTACACTGCTACATATGGCATAATATATTAAAAATTATCTAAGTAAATATAGATAGTAAAGTAATATAGTAATATATTCCAAAAACCATTTAAAGGACTAAATTTTGACAGTTAAAAAAATTATAAATCTTGATTAAAAGTAGTTTAAATGTTCCAAACTATTTACTAACCAATATTATTTAAAGATAAATTCGCAATCGTTATATCAGGCTGAGTAGATCTTGTTGGGTGTAATCGTAGAAGGACTTCTGGTGGAGGACAGTCAGTTGCCTTATCCCGTTCTGAAATGACAAATATGAGTATCACTACGTACAGACCATGTAATAGATGACGATACGCTTTGTTGATGATCAGCTACATTTTGTCCGGAACGATGATTCTAAAATGCTATACTCACCACAAGAAATGCTATGTACGAGTAAAATTAATTATTTTAAGTACGAATACATATTATGTTGGAAAATATTGCAAAAATGCTCAAAAATGGCAACCCTGACAAAGTTAAATGTTGATTCCCAAATAAACATTCACTTTTCAATTTTCACCTCCATAAGAGATGATTTCCGGGATAAAAAGTCCACACTCCAAATCCTATGTCCTTCCCAGGGTCTCAAAGTATCTTCTTACCAAATTTCATCTAAATCGGTTCAGTAGATCCAGTGATTACCTCCTACAACGTCAGGGTATTCTAGTTGTAGAATGTAGCAGTCTATTATTGTTGAATCTCAGCCATGGTTATTCGATATACATAGCAACGTAAATCAAACAATTCGACTACGATATTATAGATGCAATGACGACATCTGTATCATCTTCTTCCCATTTTTCCTTATGTTATTTTATTCCTTAAGTTGGTCGCGATGGTTACAAGTGCCATTTGGTTACATCTTTCGGACTATTGTCCAGTTAATGTCTTACTCAGACCATATGAATAAGATTATATGATTAAACTTATAAAGTACGGTCATTTTCTCTCATCTGCTTACAGAAAGAAAAAAAAACTGAATTTGCATATAGGTTACCAAATATTTAATAGATTCTTTTCCGTATTTTGCCAATTTGCTCAACAAACAAATTTGATATAAGTTGAAACTAGGAAGTATATTTGGGTTCATGCAGTAAATGTAAAAATGTAAAAAAGTAATGTAAAAATACAAAAACTGGAGCTCGGAAATCTTACGGGAACATTATCTTATCATTCCATGAAGATTCACCGGAAATAAAATGCTTTTAATTTGGCTAGCAGAAGACTGGACGACAACTTCCTTTCAAATCTTACAATTAGAACACATGGAATGTGCAGATCAAATAAACTATTCATTAACAAAATGAAAATCGATTCACATTTGGCAAAGATCGCGTAATATACTCCCAAAAATACAACCGCTTGGAATAACTCGTCTTTTTTTTAAGTCGGTCAATATAACAAATCCGTATATTATAGCTAATTATAATATCATTTCAGACATCAACTATTGTCTTTTGTCCGCTCCATTGACCTTATTCTAATGGTCTGAGTATATTATAGATATTATTATATAACCTATTCATGAACTTTTGTATTAAAACGAAGTACTTACCTGAATAAAATGTCGTATAATAAAAATTTTGAGAGCGATGGAGCCAATTGGTCTACTTATGAGGTTACTATGGAAGACTTAAAAGTTAAGATACACTCCGTTTAATGTATAACATGCTAACCGATTTCAGCAGTCGACAAGTTCGTCCGTGAAGTTTGGCCAGGATATGCAGAAGGAGATGGATGTAGACGAAGTACCACCTCAGCTGGAGGCCCTCCAGTTACTCCGCTCCATTCTACAACAGACGATTTCTATATTTATTTACGTTATGCAATAAGGCTTGTAGATATAAGAAAAGAAATCCAATTAAAAAGCAAATAAAACTAGTCTTTGACAAATCTTCACCTATGACAATATGTGTGCCAAAAATATATGGCTAAAAAGTGTTATAGTATTATATTATGATTTGTGTCGCTAGCTTATGTTGCGAAAGAAAAACGATGTTTGTTTGTTCTTCTTTCACGTCAAATCATTGATTGACGGATTGGCGTGATTTTTTATGTGGAGATAGTTGGAGGGCTGGGCTACTTTTGACCGCGGGAGATTATCTCATTCCCACGGGAAAACACGTTATAATACAATCCAAAAAAATATTTATGATCAGAATTACTTGAAACTTGATATTAATGCTCTTCAATACAATTAAATAAATACACATTTTAGCATTTTTCGAAATTCATCCCAAAAGGGGATAAAATGGGGATCAGGGTTTGTATGAAACCTACCTATTTAGCGCGAGCAAAGCCGCGGGTTCTACTAGTACTGTATATGTATAAGTAAATATTTATTATGTGCATTGCAAATAATAATATAAAATCGTGGAAGAGAATTTTCTTTTCGGAATTTTTCATGAATTTATTTTGATTTTTGGTTCCCAGCATTTCGAATGCTTTATACAAATCATGGACGAGAGAGAGAGAAAAAGATTCTAGATGTTTCAAAGGTCATATAGTTGTTACCCACAAAATTATAAATATACAGTTTTAAAATACGTAAACGGCAACGAAGTAACAATATTTGTTAATGTTAATTTTAAATTTTTTTTTATAATTTCAATAGTTTTATTTAAACTTCGAGAATCAAAAATCAAAATAAATCCGCAAAAAAGAAACAAAAATATAGTTTTATTTAAAACGGCAAATATTTGTTTTAATCTAACAAAGTATTATCTGAACAATTATCAACTTCTTCATTACAAAATAAAAGAAATATTGTTTTCATTACACCGCTATTATAAGTTAATGTTCGTAACATTAGCAAAGTAGATTTCATAGATAACAATGACACTAAGCTATAAGCAAAATAATTAAAATTCACTACTCTATTCGTGTAAAGCCTCGAATAAAGACACAAAATATAATATACTAGCATTTCCCGCGGCTCCGCCCGCGTTCAGATGACCAAAAACCAAATTTTTAGGTTTTACATATTAATATACTCTTACATTAGAGTTTTTGTATTTTTCTCAGAAATGAGATATTTTCCCGCGGTAAAAAGTATTCTATATGTTGACCCGGATAACCAGCTATCACCATACTAAATTTCATCAAAATCCCTCCAGTGGTTTTTCTGTGATGCGGTAAGAGACAGACAGATAAAAATTCAAAAAACTATAGATTCAGCCTCTGTATCGATAATAATGCCTATTTCAATAAGATTTTCCAAAAAATATTTAATGTACAGATTCGGCTTAGTTACAATTTTATTATATGTATAGAAAAAAAAAGTTGTATCTCTATGAAAATATTAAGCGAGAAGAGAATCAGCAAAACAAAACACTACAATTCTTAACTAATAGGCTATAAAGATTTTTAAAAGTCCACCTTCCTCAAAACCTGGATAGATTCATCCATTAAAATATGCACCCTCCTATAAATAATTCTGCCGGCGCCCATTATATGCAATTACGCTATAAATGAATTCTAAAGCGTATAAAAGCCTATGTTAATAAAATTTCTCTTGAGTTGGAGCTTCGAAAGCTTTGTTCTAACATATTATAAAGCTTACAACATTTAGGACGTCAATCATTACAGCTTTACCACTCTCACCGGCGGAGATGCCAGATGGATGCGCAGGTGATTTACGCGATCCCGTTTCGAGCTTTGACTCTGTTGCAGTCTCTGTAACAAATGGAATTCGTGAATATTTGATAATACATTATCGAGTACCTACTAACATAAAAAATATTTTAAATAAAACTATCTTCTCATAGTCACGGGGCAAATCCGCAAAAAAATTCTAAGAGATAGTTTTATTTAAAATGTCAAATATTCGCGTAAATCTAAGAAATAATTATAAAAAATATTTTATTTATGTTTTTGATGCCATTCGTAAAAAAATCTATTGAAATTTTTGTATTACATTGAAAGCGTTTTAATATATTTTTGTTGAAAGTTTGGTTGAGACTAGGGGAATTCTAGATTCGTATTGGTGTTATTATTTAAAAAAAAAATATTTTTTTTAATACTTGTTCCATTTAGCACTAATTTTATATAAAATAAATACCTATGCATTGCCATCAATCTCTCATTTTATTTTCATTCATGTTTTGTATTGAAAATATTATATATAGGCCTTACCTTTAAGCATTTTTTTAATAACATTAGCCTATGTGATACTTTATCTAAGTTATGGTCTATCGGTATACCAAAATTCATCAAAATCCGTCCAGTCGTTTCACCGTGCAGTAGTAACTAACATAGCTATACCTACGCTACGACCTTACAATGTTTTTCATTTATAATAGTATATACTTAGGTAGGAACACACATAAAACACTTTAAAATTTCTAATAACAAAACTAATTTCCCATAAGAAATGTTTGGAAGTTACAATTCGTAGATGTCATTTTTATTTTTAACGTTAATTAGATGTAAACTTAAAATTACTAGTAAAGTTTCGAAGTTTCGAATACTAGAATGTTCTTTGTTTATGCAAATAAAAAGGCCGGCACTGAGTCGAGAGATGAGTCGAATTTCGGAGCTAAGTAAAAACTAAGGAGCAATACGAAAAAGTGTAAAAGTGAAAAAAGTGGAGTAAAATTCTAGTGAAAGTGTGACTAGTGGCGAAAAATAGTGTGGACTGAATTTAGTCATGCGCATGTTGGAGAATCTCCATAAGTCACTCATGTTAACCAAGAGCAATAAAACATACGTATTGCAAAATATCCGATCCCCATACTTATAGAACGTAACAATATACATACGTGTGTTGAGTACCTCAATATCATTAAATTAATATAATTTAAAAAAGTACAATTTCTTTATTATTATGTTATTGTTTTTATCACTTTGCAAATGACGTAAATAAATATATGTACATATGATGTTCTCCTAACCGATTCTGGCCACGGCGGCCATTATATCATTGAGACTAGCCAACTGCGCAGGAGATATCTTACGTTGTATTGCCATGGCGTCCCCTCATTTCTCGGGGGTAGCTAGGGATCGGGGGCATTTTACGAATTTCTATTTTTTATATACCAGCTAACATTTTAAAATCATAAAACTTCAGGTTTTCAATAATAAATACTCTTAAAAATAAACGGATTCCGATTGGTCTAGATATAATCTATGATGATTTTCTCCTAACCGATTCCGGCCACGGCGGCCAATATCATTGAGACTAGCCAACTGCGCAGGAGATATTATAGTGCACAAGTGTACGCGCAGACACAAGTGCACTCTCTATTCCTGTCACTCTTATACTCTGGTGGGACGACTACTCGACACGACCGGTGAGAGTTAAGGCGCAGGACCGACGGCTTTACGTGCTCTCCGAGGCACAGGGGTGAAACACCGCCAACTTCCCAACTCCGGGCTGTTACTGAGGCTTACTATACAGAAAAACTCAATAACTAAACTTGATCCGACCCGGGACTCGAACCCAGGACCTCCGAGTGTGCAGTCATACATGCTAGCCACTACAACACCGAGGCAGTTAAATGTACATATATCTTAAATTGATTCACAATTTACTAACTCACTTGTGGTATCAAGCGGTCCCACCACCGGTGGCCGCACCGTCCTCGGCTGAACCTTTCGGCTCGAGGCCCAGACGAGCGGCCCCACCAAGCCATTTGGTCCGCGCCAGACTTTTCCGGTACCACCCGCCCCTCTAAGCAGGGTGCTCCCTACCTACCTAACCTATTACGTAAGTATGACAAAGCTAACAAACGTTTATTTATCCTCCCTTACCTTCATAATAGTTAATAAAATGTGCAAATTGATTGAAGTTTATAAAAAGGATGGAAAATACGAAACATAATTAAAACTTTGTTAACAACGAAACTTTCTAATGAATGCGTTCCACATTTAAAAGTGGAATTTATTTTGCATTTTACAATTTTACTTAGGTATATATAGACGAATAATACGTACTTTTTAATGTCATGATTCAATAAGCGTTCAGGTTGTACGTTGAATAACAGGTTCGATTCTAGCTGTGGACGTATTGAATGTGACTTCATATAGGACTAAAGTAAAAAAAATATATTCATTACTATACCCTCTACTAGCTTTTGCCAACGTCGTCGTCGTCGTGCGATGTAAGACAAATTATGACAATGAACAGGCTATAAACAGCTAAAAGATTTTTTAACTCGAACAGTATTTCTTGACATTTGCGTTCAAACAAATAAAAAACATACTCCCAGCTTTTAAGCAAATAATATATATACATATGTCAACTTAGTATTGAAAACTCTTTTATAATTTATGCTGTTCTAAAGAGCAAGTAGATTGGAAAAATCTTAGGAACTTAGCCTTATTTAAAAAAAATCATTTTATCATATTTATTCCAAGGTTTAAATTATTTATCTGGTGTTACAAAATTATTGACACATTGGAATGCTTTAATTATAGATAATAAGAAGAATTCAAAGTGACTTTAAATATAAAACACATTAAAATTAACATTATTCTTATAAAAATCCTCTAAGATCGAATAAACGTCTTACCTACGTTATTTTTTTCTGCAAGCTCTAAATCTAAAGACATTATTTTAGCTTTAGCTCTTTTATTTCAAACCCTTGCATTTATCGTGTAGTATTTATCTATTGCACCGTAGTTACTTTTTTAAGGTTAGCTATTTACAGTTGTATCTAATATTTAATTAAATCACATCCGTTTAAGTGTTCTGCAAATGACAGAACAATTTATTACTATAACACTTTATAAGACCTCATATACCTACTAAAACAATATTCTTAAAACAATAAGTTAAAAAAACTTTGCTGCAATTAAAATATATTGTACCTTTTGATTGTTTGTGGCCTTCATTAACTTGCTTGTCTCATATTTTAGAAGTAGAGTATGAAAGTTGCTAAAGCAAGTTTTATTACTTTATTATACACGTCTGACATAGCAACTGTTAGCCAATTACGAAGTTCTGAACTTGAAGCACGATGAAACCGTACTGCAGGCAGCTACAGCCGCTAAGATTCCGCAAGCGCATATACTACGATATTAGGCTTGTAATTAATTTGATTTTTTGTGTAGGGATAGTTGAAGGGCTGGAGAGAGTGATATAGGCTACTTTATACCGCGGGAGATTATCTGATTCCCACAGGAAAACACATTATAATACAATCCAAAAATATATATTATGGTCAGAATTACTTGAAACTTGGAATTCATGTTTTTTAGTAAAATTAAATAAATACTTGTTTTATCATTTTTCGAAATTCATCCTATAAGGAGGTAAAATTGGGGATGAAAGTTTCTATGAAACTACCTTTTTAGATATTTTTTGCAGCGCGAGCTAATCCGCGGCTTCTGCTAGTATATAATATATTAAAAATAGAAAGTGCTTGTTTTATTTGTCTTTTTTTTCCCCAGCAACGGAGCTACCAGGACTTGGAAAAAGGAAAATCTTCAAGAAACAAACAGTTCTTCAACGATTGCTCGGAAATTATAATTCAAGTATTTCTACATAGAATTTTTTTACAATAAGTATTTATGATATATGTATATATTTTGCTGTAATCGCCGTTGTATAGCTCTGGAAAGCAGCATCGGTCAACCGATAGCCTCGATAATTTTTATACACGTTTTCATTAAAGTAAGGAGAATATTTTTACGATATCCATTTATTCTTCCAAGTGATACTCAATTTCGAGTATCCTATATACGAGTATTAGTGGATATGTCACCTGATACAATTCCATATAATAATAATAATAATTACCTTGAAGGTGTTTGTACTTAATAGCATTAGCATTAGATCTTTATTCTACGCATCAAAATATATATATACGTATAATGTACTTAAGAGTAAACAAATTAATGTAAATATTGGCAGTATAACTAAGATAATTGAAATTAAATAGAGTATTCAAACATGTCGCAGTACAAATTAGTTGTGACTCTCGAGTTTAGTGGCTTACTTTGTACAAATTAGTTTGTATAGTAATAGTTAATTGTAGTTTCGATATGATATTAATATTTTAATACAAATTAATACCTGTTTATTATAATATACTAGCTTTGCCCGCGGCTCCGCCCGTGTTTAGTTGACCAAAAATCAAATTCTTAGGTTTTACATACTTATTAGTATACTTACATTGCAGTTTTTGTATTTTTTCTCAGAAATGAGACATTTCCCGAAAAGTATGTTGACCCGGATAACCAGCTATCACCATACTAAAATTCATCAAAAGTCCTCCAGTGGTATTTCTGTGATGCGGTAACAGAAAGACAGACAAAAATTCTAAAAACTATAGATTCGGCCTCTGTATTGATAATAATGTTTATTTCAATAAGATTTTCCAAAAAATATTTAATGTACAGATTCGGCTTGGTTACAATTTTATTATATGTATAGATAAGTAACTTTTGCCCGCAGCTCTGCTTGTGTATTTTATTTTATATAATTCTTTTGCTATTAGATATCAGAAATAGCCTCAAAAATTAGGCTATAAAATGGTTAAAGATTTATCAAGTAAAATAAATAAATATAAATAAATCAATGTTGGGACATTAATACACAGCACCATCTAGTTCCATGGTAAGCTACTAGGCTTGTGTTATGGATACCAGATAGTTGATACACTACAAATATATAACTTTAAATACATAAATATTGTAAATATAAACACCCATGACAGGAGTACAAACATTTG